AAACAAAAGTACAACCACCCAACACTATACCCCCCCCTGCTTTTAACTTTTCTGCATGATCCCTCAGTTTCCAGCTGCTTTACCCCCTTTCTTTTTAAACGTAATGCCTCACGTACCTCCCCCACACTTACATTCTGCTCTTCTTCACTCCTGAAAGATGGTATACCTCCCTGACCAGTGCATGAAATTACTGCCTCTGTTTCTTCGTTAACATTTAAAAGTTCCTCAAAATATTCTCGCCATCTACCCAATACCTCCATCTCCCCATCTACTAACTCCCCTACTCTGTTTTTAACTGACAAATTTTCCCTAGGCTTTCTTAACTTGTTTAACTCACTCCAAAATTTTTTCTTATTTTCATTAAAATTTCTTGACAGTGCCTCTCCCACTCTTTCATCTGCTCTCCTTTTGCACTCTCTCACCACTCTCTTCACCTTTCTTTTACTCTCCATATACTCTGCTCTTCTTATAAACACTTATGCTTTGTAAAAACCTCTCGTAAGCTACCTTTTTCTCTTTTATCACACCCTTTACTTCATCATTCCACCAATCACTCCTCTTTCCTCCTGCCCCACCCTCCTATAACCACAAACTTCTGCCCCACATTCTAATACTGCATTTTTAAAACTATTCCAACCCTCTTCAACCCCCCACTACTCATCTTTGCACTAGCCCACCTTTCTGCCAATAGTCGCTTATATCTCGCCCGAACTTCCTCCTCCCTTAGTTTATACACTTTCACCTCCCTCTTACTTGTTGTTCCCACCTTCCTCTTTTCCCATCTACCTCTTACTCTAACTGTAGCTACAACTAAATAATGATCCGATATATCAGTTGCCCCTCTATAAACATGTACATCCTGGAGCCTACCCATCAACCTTTTATCCACCAATACATAATCTAACAAACTACTTTCATTACGTGCTACATCATACCTTGTATATTTATTTATCCTCTTTTTCATAAAATATGTATTACTTATTACCAAATTTCTTTCTACACATAGCTCAATTAAAGGCTCCCCATTTACATTTACCCCTGGCACCCCAAAATTACCTACTACTCCCTCCATAACATTTTTACCCACTTTAGCATTGAAATCCCCAACCACCATTACTCTCACACTTGATTCAAAACTCCCCACGCATTCACTCAACATTTCCCAGAATCTCTCTCTCTCCTCTACACTTCTCTCTTCTCCAGGTGCATACACGCTTACTATAACCCACTATTAAGATAAAATCAAATAAATCAAAGAAAACTCAGATGAGTGTGTATAAATAAATGTGCACATGTATGTGTAGTGTGACCTAAGTGTAAGTAGAAGTAGCAAGACGTACCTGTAATCTTGCATATTTATGAGACAGACAAAAGACATCAGCAATCCTACCATCATGTAAAACAATCACAGGCTTCGTTTTACACTCACTTGGCAGGACGGTAGTACCTCCCTGGGTGGTTGCTGTCTACCAACCTACTACCTATACAGCATATATATGAACAGTATTTAGATAAAGGTAGGGAAGTTTTTATTGCATTTATGGATTTAGAAAAGGCATATGATAGAGTGGATAGAGGAGCAATGTGGCAGATGTTGCAAGTATATGGAATAGGTGGTAAGTTATTAAATGCTGTAAAGAGTTTTTATGAGGATAGTGAGGCTCAGGTTAGGGTGTGTAGAAGAGAGGGAGACTACTTCCCGGTAAAAGTAGGTCTTAGACAGGGATGTGTAATGTCACCATGGTTGTTTAATATATTTACAGATGGGGTTGTAAAGGAAGTAAATGCTAGGGTGTTCGGGAGAGGGGTGGGATTAAATTTTGGGGAATCAAATTCAAAATGGGAATTGACACAGTTACTTTTTGCTGATGATACTGTGCTTATGGGAGATTCTAAAGAAAAATCACAAAGGTTAGTGGATGAGTTTGGGAATGTGTGTAAAGGTAGAAAGTTGAAAGTAAACATAGAAAAGAGTAAGGTGATGAGGGTGTCAAATGATTTAGATAAAGAAAAATTGGATATCAAATTGGGGAGGAGGAGTATGGAAGAAGTGAATGTTTTCAGATACTTGGGAGTTGACGTGTCGGCGGATGGATTTATGAAGGATGAGGTTAATCATAGAAGTCAAAATCATGGCGTCAAAAAATGTTATCTATGGAGGCAAAGAAGGGAATGTATGAAAGTATAGTAGTACCAACACTCTTATATGGGTGTGAAGCTTGGGTGGTAAATGCAGTAGCGAGGAGACGGTTGGAGGCAGTGGAGATGTCCTGTTTAAGGGCAATGTGTGGTGTAAATATTATGCAGAAAATTCGGAGTGTGGAAATTAGGAAAAGGTGTGGAGTTAATAAAAGTATTAGTCAGAGGGCAGAAGAGGGGTTGTTGAGGTGGTTTGATCATTTAGAGAGAATGGATCAAAGTAGAATGACATGGAAAGCATATAAATCTATAGGGGAAGGAAGGCGGGGTAGGGGTCGTCCTCGAAAGGGTTGGAGAGAGGGGGTAAAGGAGGTTTTGTGGGCAAGGGGCTTGGACTTCCAGCAAGCGTGCGCAAGCGTGTTAGATAGGAGTGAATGGAGATGAATGGTACTTGGGACCTGACGATCTGTTGGAGTGTGAGCAGGGTAATATTTAGTGAAGGGATTCAGGGAAACCGGTTATTTTCATATAGTCGGACTTGAGTCCTGGAAATGGAAAGTACAATGCCTGCACTTTAAAGGAGGGGTTTGAGATATTGGCAGTTTGGAGGGATATGTTGTGTATCTTTATATGTGTATGCTTCTAAACTGTTGTATTCTGAGCACCTCTGCAAAAACAGTGATAATGTGCGAGTGTGGTGAAAGTGTTGAATGTTGATGAAAGTATTTTCTTTGTGGGGATTTTCTTTCTTATTTTTGGGTCACCCTGCCTCGGTGGGAGACGGCCGACTTGTTGAAAAAAAAAAAAAAAAAAAAAAAAAGTTACCCCCTTTGCAACAACAGCGTCCTTGATTTCCTTTTTCTTGGCCACTACGGAACATAAGGTTGTGTAGGGTTTCTTATACATCCTGGCCAGTTCGGCCACACTTGTACCACTTTCATAGTGTTCAATGATGGTTTTCTTAAATTCAATCGTATTTCTCACCTTCTTTACCACAAGCTTGGCACTACGAGTTTTCTTTGGAGCCATGGTAGCTTATTTAGTACTTGCAAGCACTAAAATAAATGGAATATTATGAAATATTTCGCTGGAGCACGTAAGGGGACCTTCGCTCACTGGTAAACAATGCCAGACTGGCTGCCGCCACGGCTGACGCCATGGGTACACGTCCCGGACGAACTACGACTTGCGAGTCAACCTATGAAAAGCGAGCCCATGTTTATACGAAAATATCCCTATGATTGCCGAAATTTACGACTGCCGAGAACTACGAAAAGCGAGGGACCACTGTATTAGTCAGAGGGCTGAAGAGGGGTTGTTGAGGTGGTTTGGTCATTTACAGAGAATGGATCAAAGTAGAATGACATGGAGAGCGTATAAATGTATAGGGAAAGGAAGGCAGGGTAGGGGTCGTCCTCAAAAAGGTTGGAGGGAGGGGGTAAAGGAGGTTTTGTGGGCGAGGGGCTTGGACTTCCAGCAAGCGTGCGTGAGCGTGTTAAAGAGGAGTGAATGGAGACGAATGGTATTTGGGACCTGACGGGCTGTTGGAGTGAGAGCAGGGTAATATTTAGTGAAGGGATTCAGGGAAACCGGTTATTTTTGTATAGCCGGACTCGAGTCCTGGAAATGGGAAGTACAATGCCTGCACTTTAAAGGAGGGGTTTGGGATATTGGCAGTTTGGAGAGATATGTTGTGCATCTTAATACGTATATGCTTGTAAACTGTTGTATTCTGAGCACCTCTGCAAAAATAGTGATTATGTGTGAGTGAGGTGAAAGTGTTGAATGATTATGAAAGTATTTTATCTTTGGGGATTTTCTTTTTGGGTCACCCTGCCTCGGTGGGAGATGGCCGACTTGTTAAAAAAAAAAAAAATTACAGATGCATGCAGGCATACACACATGTACAAGCATACACTAAGTAACTGAACTCACTTGGCACTTAAAGCTAATAATATCCATGTCAAGATGTTCTTGAAATTCTTCATTATCTTTGAAATTCTTGCTACAAAAAGGGCAGCATTTTGCATCTTTTCGGTTTATATAATGCTCAGTGTAAGCATGATATGCCAACACTTCTCTGTTTTGACAAATTCGCTGGCAAACTTGGCAATTTAACCTAGAATACAAGAAAACACAATTAAAATTTTCAACCCACCAAGTGCTTCATTTAAATTCTGGAAAAAATGCTTTTAACATTTCAAATACTGTATATAGAGACTATAGCATTTGCAAAAAGCCCCCAAATAAGTCGTATTGTTCTGAATGCAGAATCCTACTGGCTACGTTCTAAATGAACATTCTCATGTATCCCTTAAATGACTAACAGCTACTTAATTTTTTTTTAATGCAGTTACAGAACAGAACAGTCTCTATTGAAATCCTGAACACAGTGAACACAGAGGAAAAAATAAAAATGACATGAATAAAAGAAGTTATGTACACTGTATAAGGTTTACTTTAGTATTTACATACATTTCACAGCTAAGCATCAGAAACTGGTTAGTGTCAAGAATGTATATGTTATTACCTTTTGGTCAAGGGCGTCAGCACATTTCCATAATTGCATTGTGGAACATATGAAAGACGGTGAAATCTAAGATGGCTATGAGTAGAAGGCCAATCCCGTAACTGAATTCCACATATGGTACAGTCTCCGATCATTTCTCCATTATTTTTTTCTTGAGTGGTAGACCACTGCTTCTCTTTTTTATCTTGAACTCCAACACCTAAAAAATATTATTGAAATACAATTTAGCATCAGAAAGCAAGCTTAACATAACCATAAGCCATATTCATTTTCCCCACAATTTGTAAATGTAAAATTTTTCCATAATTCATCGAAGAACATTTACCAAGGAGAAATCTTTAATTAATTAATGATATCAAATTTGGATATTAAAATTTATTACCAAGTAATGCCATTATTTAATTTTCTGAAATGAATGAAGCACTTTGAAGAGTGGGTGGAGGAAGAAGAGAGTGTAGTACAAGGATAAAAAAAAAGAATCACCATGGACTTATGACTGAATTCTGAAAATTAAAATTGTCAATTTTATTACATTTAAGCCATTTTAAAATAAGTTTCAAGTTTACATTATAGTATGTGAACATTTTACAAATGCTCAATTATACAGTAAAGCAATGAGTGTATTTTTCAATCTGAAAAATGACTAATTGCAAATGTTTGACCATTAGAAATATAAATGTTTAAAACACCAATCAATCTGTTTGTATTCAACAAAAGCCTTACTGAGCTCATCTTCAGAATCTCTTCTTTAATTAACTCCTTATCTGTTTGAAATTCTTCACTTTCATCTTTCTGAATGACAATCTGTAAATGGCCTTCTTCATCTGTGGTGTCATTATCATCATCGTCCTCCTCATCCTGACCACCGTCTGGAGATTTTTCTGAAGAATCTCCATCATTGCTGGCACATTTCATACGGGCTTTTTCTTCTTTCACTAGTTCCTTCTCAATAGTTGCTAGTTGTTCTTCATCGGCAACATAGTCTTCCCATTTCTGTGGTTTGCGAGACTTTCTTCTCCCTCCTGACATGCCTCACAATTTTATTCTGAAATACGTAAAAGTTTATTTGCTGTATTCATAACATTTACACTTAAAATATGCAATACTGTAACTTTATAGTAAATCAATATTCATGGCAAAATATATAACAACTTATTCACTATTTAAAGTCATAAATAAGAGAATTCTACCAATGATAAAATGTGTGAGATAGGACAGATAAAACTTAGAATGTAATGAATGAATTTCTTTTCACATAGTTTCTGTACTTTTTTTTTGTTACCCAACAGTAGTTACAAAGTAAATTGTATATTCAACAATGTATAATGAATACACCACACAGTATCAACTGCACACTATGTACCATGAATACACCACATAGTATCAACTGTGTGGGAATATTTGCAGTTTGAAGTGGTATCTGAACTGTAGCATCAGTGCACCTCTGGCAAGACAATAATGGGGTTAATAATGATGGTGAAAGTGTTTCTTTTTCTGGGTCACCCTACCTCGATGGGATACGTCCAGTGTTAAAAAACTGTATGTGCACGCATGCAAAACAAGCCCTGGAAGGATGGAAATATTCAGCTCAAGACCTGTCACACTATACTGTGCTTCACCAGGAGCTATGCAATGTTGCAATACCTGCAACTGGTATATTGAGAGAGTTTACTCAGAGGAAAGGTAGCATGAAGACACTGGCCTACTCTGCCTGTTTTGAGGTGGAAAAGGCCAGCATCTACATGCTACTTTTCCTCAAAAAACATTCCCTCAATCTACCTGTTACAGGTCTTGTGATACTGCATAACTCCTGACGAAGCACAAAATAGTGTGAAAGATCCTGAGCTGAAGATTTCCATTCCCCATGGTTTGTCTTGCATTAAGATTGCCTAATTGCAATTGTTTTAAAAAATTTATATACATACACACACACATACACACACAGCCTCTCCTCACTTAACCCTTAAATGGCCCAAACGTAAATACGTTTTTCAACATCTGAAAAGTAGAAAAAAAATGTAGTGATTTTTTTGTTTTCATTTGAAAATGGAAAAAAAAATTTTATCTCTTTTTTTTTTGTTTATTTGAAAAATTGTAAAAAAAAAAAGATCTACTTTTGAGCACTACGAATTTGAACGTCGATCTTTTTTGGACCTTTTAAAGGGGTTAATGATGTACTCATTTCCCGGGGATTACAACGGGCTTTTTGACCACTTTTTAAACCAAAATGTATATTAGAGCCGATTTCCTTATTCGTTTTTTTAAAATATACAGTACATACTGTAAAAATTAAAAATAACCAAAAATTTGTTAAAAAGGTGCAAAGGTGACTTTAAAAACAATATAAAGTGGGACATAAACCCACTCCTTATGTAGCTCCTCACTTAGCGACAATTCGTTAAGTGGTCTTAGAACGAACTCCATGTTAAGTGAGGAAGGCGGGGTTAAAAAAAAGTGTATTTGTCCGTGCCGAATAGGTAAAATTTACGATTTTGCTAAACAGCAATGCTCTTTTTGCGAATAAACAAGCAAAACTTTGTGTATGAATTTTTTCCCAAAAAATCTTCTGAACGTACGAAAAAAATGTATTTCATTGTGTTTTTTTATTAAAAAATTAAGTACTGAAACCCCTTATCTAAAATAATTTGTTCGATTTGGCTAAATTAAACGCGCCTGTTCAATAGTTTAGGTAAGTTTTCAAAGGGTGTTTTTGGGTATAAAATTTTTAATTTTTACTTAAACAAACCCCTTGTGGCCCTTAGCGCTTTTTTATTATAAAATAATACTTAACAAAAATGAAAAAAAAATATATCTTTAAACATATAAAAAAAATTTTAAAAAAGGGATTAATTTTAAATGAGTTCTTGCTAACGGCCAATTTTACCTATTCAGCTAAACATTTACATATTTTAAATACTCACCACGACCCCCGAAGGTCCCGGATGGCGATAAAACAGTAGCTTGCTGGCGTGCCACTTTGTGGGTTTGGGGGTGTCCTAGGGTTAAAGGGCTCTGGGGTTCAAGCTCACCATAGGTGGGCCAGTAAAACTTGGGTTCGAGCCCTTGGCTAGTGCATATTCTAAACTGAAATACCGCGTTGTGGTTCAATTCATCATCTAAATATTATACACATACACACATATACAAACATACAAATTATATTCATGGAGGGGCTCTTAAGCTCTGAGGTTGAAGAGTTTTTTCGGTTTTATAAAATAGTTTTATATAGCAAATTATTAAAGTAACCTAGAATAATCAATAAATTTTAAAAGCGACTTATTTCCACTGGATCCTTATGTTTTAATACTGACATGGTTTTTCTTTTAAAAAGGAATATAAAAATGCGTCTGCCTCTGCCTTAGTGATGTTAATAAAGGAAAATCAACAGAAAAATTTGGGGCAACAAAATCGGCCTTGGAAGAGGTTAGCTCCAGTTTTTTTGGGGCCAAGAGACATCCCCGGAAGCCACACAATGAATGGAGTATTACATTAATTACTGTTGTTATACTTTGTTCTAAAATCAGTTCTAAAACTGGGACAAAAAAAGTGTACTTGTGGAAGATTTAAATAAAAAAGGGACTTATTTTACAAGGACTCTAATGGGAAAAAAAGTTTCCCTTTCGACTTTTTTAGGATTTTTCTAAGTAATTTGGGGACACCGAATTTTTTAAACCAACCTCAAAACCCCAAAAAAAAAAGTAACTGTACTTAAATAAATTAGTTAAAAAAGTTCCTGGGCGGTCAAGCAAAGGTTCACTTCAACACACACACACTGCCTTAAGAATTATAATGGGAAAAAAAAACTACAAGAAGTTTCAGAATTTTCAACCAGACAATTAACCCGTACATAAATGACAAGGAGAGAAAGGAGAGAAGTTAAAGAGGTTTTTTGGGTATCACCTGGAGTAGCGTCCCCCTGGGTTTTGTTTTTCTCCCCACTGACCTACATTTAAAAACCTCTCAAAACAATCTTTTTCTTTTTATATTAAAATTTGGGTTTTTTATATAATTGAGCAGATTTTATTTTTATATGTGTATATTTTTTTTGATGCGTAGTATAAAAATTGACATTTAATTTACTGTTAATTAGGGAAATAAAACTGTTTTTCGTAACTAACGCACAGGAAAAAAAAAAAAGTGGGGGGCAAATTTTTATTTTGGGTGGACTACGAGTAGGCTTGTAAAAGGTGAGTTGGTTGGGGTGGACGGCTACTTCTGCCCTTTTCTTAGCATCAATGATGATTTTTTTTTCCCTTTTTTTTTCCCCTGGGAACTTTTTTCCTCACCACACAGTCCACGGGCCCGCTGCTGGCCCTCATACATTACCCCTCAGTCCTGGGGTAAACCCCGGGGTTTTTTATCAGGTGGGCAAGCTGCAAAAGTAATCATTTAACTGTGTTCAAGGGGGTTTAAATAAGATTTTCTTTGGATTTTAACTCCGGAGGGTTAGCCACCTAGGGGAAACCCAAAAAAGTCGTGCGTCATCGAGGACTGTTAATTTTTTCCATTGGGGGGCCTTAATTTGTCCCCCAGGGGGGCGACCCACACCCCTCGACTAACACCCAGGTACCTATTTGCTGTAGGTGAACAGGACAACAGGTGTAAGGAAACGCGTCAAAATGTTTCCACCCGCCAAGAATCGAACCCGGGCCTTCAGTGTGTGAAGCGAGAGCTTAGCACCCAGGTCGAGTTTCAGCTCCTGGACCCACCTCTCCACTGGCCGCTACTGGATTCACTCCTGCCTACTTTAACCCTATCATACCTATTAGTAAGTTCTTTGAACTATATATATATGGATCCCGCCTCTCTCTCTCTCTCTATGTACCTCTGAATCTTTTGACTACCGCCCACAGGATGGGTATGGGTGCATAATAAACATATTAAACTAACTAACTCTCTCTCTCTGCCGGGGTTTAGGCAAGGTGCGTCGACCTGGCCTAGTTGGGAACTTTCTTTTCTCGTTTCTCTTTCCGGAGGAAACTTTGTTTCCCTTACAATTCCTGTTCAAATTTAGGAAACATTGTTTCCGCAGTCTCCATGGAAGTAAGGCTCAATAAGGCATAAGTTTTAGTGGCCCTTAACCCCAACAACAAGAATTATTAATTCTAGTTAGTCTTTATTTAAGATAAGATTTTGAACGTAAATTCATTTTTTACGAAGGTTTTATATATATCTAATGTAGAAATTAGTCTAAGATATGTTCGATAAAGTTCAACAGTGTACTCACCTAATTGTGGTTTGCAGGGGTCGAGACTCAGCTCCTGGCCCCGCCTCTTCACTGATCGCTACTAAGGTCCTCTCTCTCTCTCTCTGCTTCCTGAGCTTTGTCATACCTCGTCTTAAAGCTATGTATGGTTTCCTGCCTCCACTACATCACTTGCTAGACTATTCCACTTCCTGACGACTGTTTGACTGAAGAAATACTTCCTAACATCCCTGTGATTCGTCTGAGTCTTCAGCTTCCGATTGTGACCCCTTGTTTCTGTGTCCCCTCTCTGGAACATCCTGTCTCTGTCCACCTTGTCTATTCCACGCATTATTTGTATGTTGTTATCATGTCTCCCCTGTTTAGACACATTTTCCTTACAACTGCTGGCCCTATTCACTTAGCAATAAGTAGGTACCGGGGTTAATCGGCTGTTGTGGGTCGCATCGTGAGGGACAAGATTAACCTAAGCTGCGTAAGTAAGGAGTGTCTATATAGCATGCCAATGTCAGTTAGGTCTATAGAAAAAAAATTTATCATTAGTTACACAGTAAACCGTTATATAGTTACTCTGTTATGTAACTAGGCGTAGACCAGTTGTGGCTACAGGGATCAAATCTCGGCTCCTGATCGCACTTTATATTTAGTCACAAATGATCATCATATCCCCGACCCCAAGGACCCTATCATACCTACTCCTAAAACTTGCAGCCACTATTTCTTCAACCAACATTCCCTTTTCAACCATTCAGACAAAGGAAGTGCTTATAACATCCTGACATTTAACTCTTTCATTTTCCCTTTAATCCCTTCGAGTAAAAATTTTTAAAATTTTTTAAAAGAACCCCTATTAACAAGCGGGGGCAATACCCTGCTTCCTGACGAACTGAACTCCACCACAACTGGAGCCCTGGGTTTACCTGGAAGA